CTCTTCTTCAGTTTTTATGTCCACATTTTTGTATTTTCCAATTTCTAATCAAAGAACCAGATATTTTCTAACACTATTCATCGTTTATACAGATGATTCAACCAGGAGAGTTTCATGTCCTTCAGAATCCTGCAGTGATTCAACAGTCAGTCAGCTTCTGTTGTATATGAGAGACTGAAGACAGAAAGCAACAACCTGGATGTTTGTAAAGACTCTTCAAGCACCAGAGCAAACTAGTTCCTCCTTTTCACTGCAGTTCATTATAGTATCTGTTGATGTTTTAATCAGTCTGTTTCCTCCTTTTTTTCACCAGCTTACTGTTGAATAATGAGTGTGAAGGTTTGTCAGATGACAGAGCACAGTGTCATTTGAGTAGTTCAATGTTCGATTAAAACCTGGTGATTGTAAAGGCTGACACAAACGATAATGCTACTTACACAGCTTACAGTGTAGGTACAGGCAGGGACGAGCCTGAAGATAATTAAGTTATACTTCTGCACACACACATACACTAATGCCGTTATAGAGCGCACTAGAGAACACTACTTTGAGTTAAATGACCAGGGCAAACAGTTCAGTGTCCTTTCTATTCATCCTCTTTCTGCAGTAGTACTACCTCCATCACAACTTCAAAAGACATATTTCATCCTAGCAACCACCCTCAAACACCATGGCAACCACCTATTTCTTTCAAGCAAGAAACAACTGAGCCCAAATTTAAACCCTTTTAGAAATGTTTTTATTTCATTCCAGTTCCCACCGTACGAGTTCGTCGTCTGGGATGTGAAGCCAGAGCTCACGATTTATGTACTCGAACTGTACAGTCTGATTAACAGGCCCTGATCTGAGTGCTTATACTGTGCGTGTAAAAGGAACAATAGAAAGGTCTGTGAGCCCTTGAGGACTGTTCTGGCCACTGACAATTATAAAGATTAATTGATTGATAATGTGGGGCTGCAGGAAGGTAGATGTTTGTCTGCAAGCGAAGGTACAGCTCACAGTAATATAAAGACGGACACCCCAGAAAGAGATTAAAAGTTAATTTCTGCAAAAATGGGTCAGTCCAAGTTTTGATTTTCTCTCAAACTCCTGATCCCCCCACTTTCTCTCGCTCTCTCACACACACACAAGTTAGCAGCACCAATAAACTACACCAGTCCAACCAACGAAGGCAATGAGTACAAGCCGCTCATAGAAAGAGCATGGCAAGTCATTTCTTCACCATCCTAGAATTTGCAAATTTTCTTGCTGGGGGCCTGTGCACACGCTGCTTTACTTTCATTCAATACCATCACAACCTGACGTGCCGCCCTCTTGTGGCCTAAAAGGTGTACACCACCTAATACAAACGCCTGAAAAAAAAAAAAACAAAAGCGGTCCAGCCCCAGTTTATAACAAAGCACTCAAACCTGGGTGGGTTCATTTTAGCATTCGTAACATCTCCAGTTATCTCTGTTCCTCCTGATGACTTGTGAGGAAGAGGAGGAAAATGTGCACAGGAAGAAGCAGCATACAAATAAAAAACACAGAGGCAGCTCACACACTGAACACTGCAAGCTCCCAGAAGTTTGATAAAGACACCAGGGCTGTAGTGGCCCCCTACACCCACGGCTGAGAATGGTCTGTGTCACCGTACACGATGTGTTGCATAAGACCGACGGGCTTCGACACAGCCGACTTGACAGCTGACGAGATTCAACAGCATCAACAACAACAATAACAGCCTGCGGCGCTCTTCTGTGCAGGGCAGCGCTGTCAGGCCAACATTGAACAAACACACCAACGGGGAGGGGTGTGTGTGTGTGTGTTTGGTTTTGGTTTTTTGGTTTTCTCCAAACAGGTTATTTAGTCCTTTACAGTGCGAGGTATAGAGGCCAAAAACGCAACTGTACAAAATGGTACAAACAAAAAAAAAAAACAAAGTGAAATCTTTCCAAGTTGAGGATGTTTGTGTGCAAATGTGACTGTTAGTGTGTGTGTATTTACAACACATTCTCACTACCACCTTCTCACATATCGAAGTTGGGTCATGGACATTCCAGGGAAAGATTTCTGAAAAGAATTCTCCATCCACATGTCGAGATAATGGCCGCACAGACCACTGCCATCTACAACACTACCCTCGTTTAAAGCAACACATTCTCACTCATCACATATAACGTCCAAGGTACCCTGGGTGTGTTGGTTGTTGACGTTCTGGGACGCCGTGTCAACTTCAGCCAGTTACATGCATTGTCTGTTTTCAAAATACACTTCTGTTTTCATAGGATATTTACAGTTTGCATACAGTCTCTTTCAAAATAAAAGCACTATGTTGGTACAACACTGCAAATAACCTTTTTTCCTTCAACAACAAAAGCAAAAAAGAACTGGGTTTGGCTTTACAATCTTACAGGGAGTGAGCGCCGTCCTCCTGGGTCAGTGGTTGCTGGACCCATCTACCACCAGTCCTGCCTGCCGTACTCGAGCTTTTGCCCCCTTTAGTATTGTTGTTGTCCTGACGCTTTTCCCCACTGCTGGGCGCTGTTACAGAATCACAGCCACTGGCTACGTGTTATACCGTCACCAAAAGGATGGCTTTTTTTGTCTGTATCCGACGCTGGAATTCACTGATCAAGTGCTGGTATTCGACAACTTCGGAGTGAGACCAGGTTGGTATTTTAAGCATCTTTTAAATAAATCTGCATCTGTGTGTATATTGTTTCTTCTGCCCTTTTTCACCGAAATTAGCAGGTGTACTCAGGTTCTTTTTAAACACGGGATAACCCGCAAAAATAGGTGATAGGCTCCTTTCCCATTGCCAGCAGACAAGTGTGCCTTTCTGTCCTTTTTTTTACTGGTGTGTCACATTCGGCGTCACAGACAGGCCAGAAAATTCATTCCGATGTAAGGAGCTGGAATATTCCGTTTCTAATTCCGAATGAAGGAATTTCTCGCACTTGTATACGCTCATTCCTCTTTAAGTTCATTCCAGTCTTTCTGCACATGCTCGTTTCCTTGACCTTCTGGCGCGATGACATATATAGTTCACGCGACTTGTTGTACTCACCGGTTTCCATTCGCCACAGCATGGTCTTCTACCTCCCTTCTTCGACCTTCTACCTCCCTTCTCCTCCTCAACAGATGAAGCATTAGCAGAACAAGGTTGTTGTCGTACTGCTGCTTCAAGAATATAAGCAAAACAAGCCCGAAAAAGTCACTAAGAACAGCGTCGTCAAGCATCTTGTTATCCGGAGCGAGGACTACAGTGTTTTCTTCTGGTAAACGTAAACACGTAACATCCGCCCCGCCCCCTATCCAATCAGAAACCTTCCCTGCCCCAAACCTTGTGCGGACCCGAATAAAGGCGATTAAAAGACAACTGATCTCCGTGTAAACCCTCATTCGGCATGAATATTTCCCATGTAAAAACTTTAATTCCGAACTTATTCAGTCTCTCTCTCTTTCAAACTCAATGCTGATGACATTTGGAACAATATTCAAGGTGGTATTTTGTGGTCGTGTGTCATCACATTGTGCCTGTAAATAAGCTAAAACAAGTTGGTCCACCCAGGTGTTTTATTCCCATTACTGCTGATCAAAGCTGAAGCCAATAAATACCCGTGATTACTGCAGAGCCATTTGTGCCAGGAGTAAATGCTGATGGTAACCTTTCCCATTAAATACAAAAGCCAGATGTTAGCGGCTGTTAGTGGGTATTTTGTGCAGTCAAAGAGGCCTCAGAGTGTCAGGCCTCAGAGTTTGTTTGAAAGCAAAGCTGTACTAAAGATTCCCTCGTGCCAAAGTGCAAGTCAGTGAGAGACTGAGTGAGCATGTGTGTGAAAGAGTGTGACACGTAGAGAAAAGGTGTGGAGATGTATGTGTGATAGCATGTGTCTCCGTGTAACAGTGTGTAAGTGTGAGTTTGAGATGTGTGTGTCAGACTGAGCTGCTGGCAGCGTTCAGTTCAGGATGGAAGTTACTTCAGCAGACAAGAGTATAGTCTGCTAACAGACCTCTGGAGCACCAACTTCTCAAATTCTTGCGGGTAACTAAAGAACCTCAGGGGTCTCCTTTATAAACATTGTATACACACAAAACGAGGCCTGAAAGAGGCGTTTGCGACTTCCCACGCAAAAGTTGTGATGTATAAAAACAGACTTGATGGGAGAAACTTTGACCCATGCTTACGAACATTTTAGAGACAGGAAATTGGCGATGCAGATGGTGAGGTGGAAGCCTCATTGTAGAAATTGTTGTTTTTATAAATGAGACCTCAGGTCGTTAAAAATGGTAAAAACACTGAATAAAACAGTTTAATGTTTGAAAAGAAAAAAAATTGTTTTTTCTGATGCTGCTTTTCACTTATAACTATGGTGTCTGAGGTGAATACATGAAAATGTAAATGTCTCTATCTAGAGCTGGTGGTTGGTTTGTCCATTCTGGGCTACATTTTGGTGCAAGATGGCGACCTCCGTAGACGAGGACCTGCTCCCTATGTAGATATGAACATCTCATTCTAAAGTAACAAAAACGATTCTTATTTTCAGGTGATTATAAACAAAAGAAAATATAATTATATTCCATTTCTGCCTGTGTATCCCCTTAAATCCTTCACACTGGACCTTTAATTAGCCAGCTTACAAACATTAACCCTGCCATCCTTTGACCTCGAAAGAGCTACTGAAACTTTCTTGGGGAAGCCTGTGGAAAGTTTCAACTGTGCCATAACTATTATTTCCTCATATGGAGACACGACAACATGCATCATTCACCAGAACAACTTGTATGCTCAGTATCGTCTGCCATTCTCTTTAAACTCGCTGGCAAAATCAAGTCCTCCCACAGAGAACGGCTGTGAAAAGGGCAATGTCAGACTAAATACCGGAGTGGTAACAACATGTCTGCTCTGTCTGAATATTAGGCTGCAGGTTTTTGGGTTTGACACACGTAGGCGATGTCGCCTCTGCACCATTTTTTCTCTCCGGCTCATTCGTTAGAGTGAAACACTGTGAACTCACCCTCTTGATGTCCTTGCCGAAGGTCTCGCTGAAGCTGGAGCCGAGGATCTCAAACTGGACGTGAGAGTTGGAGCCGCTGTCCTTAAAATCCATCGTACCTGTCAGTCCTGTGATGTTGCCCTGAAGGATGAGAGACACACAGAGAGGAATTCAGAAGTGCTGGAGGATTATCTGGACACTTTTACTTCCACTCTGCAAAAACGTTGGACCTCTGTGACTTTAATAATGACAATAATAAACATCAGAGTCTCCTTTATCTTGACCTCCTCCTTTTATTTGACTCATTTCCTTGTAATGGCGCAGTCCAGCTTCGGGATGGACGGGCCTATAAAGTGTGTGACATGAGCAGGGGAGTTTGTTTCCTACGGACTTTCCTTAACTTAAAGTCGTTTTTGTTGCTTAACCTTACCAAACCATAACCGCAGTGGTGTTAGGTGAAAAATATTTCTCCTATAGTCATTTGTAATGGGTTTGTAAAGCACTGATAAACGACATCATCCCGAAGACACTCATCCGTGTTGTTCTGGACGGCAGTGAAACATTAAGATGTTTCGTTTGGAGGACTTTGGAGGCCACACACGCTCCAGCACAAAGAAGGGAGCAGAAATTAACGACTACTTTATTGAACTGTATTCTATCTTGTACCCATTGTAAAAGAGGCCCTGCCAGTATTGTTAACTTTAATGTCCATGCAGATAAAATATAATGAAGTGACAGAGAGAGGCAGGGAGACAGTAAGACAGAGGAGGGACGGATGAAGGGACAGAGACACAGGAGATATTAAAGATGGGTCAGAAAGAGTAACGAAGTGGAAAATCGTCTAAGAGGAAGGGAGGGAGGATGGAAGACAGCGAGGGGATGAAGGTGAGGAGAGGAGAGGGTTAGAAAACTGCAAAAGGGAGACAGCATGGAGAGACAAAAAAGACCTAGAATTTGAGTCCAAGTGGAGGTGTGTGCCTCATTTGAGGAAACTCTCTCGAGGCCTCCCTGAGATACCATGTTCATGAGAATGAGATGGATGCAAGGTCACAGTGACCTCTGACCACCAAATTCAAATCAGTTCATCCCTGAGTCCAAGTGAGCCTTTTGCTGAATTTGAAGAAATTCCCTCAAGGTGTTATAAGATATAGCTTTCATAAGAATTCGAAAGGCAAGGTCACAGTGACCTTGACCTTTGGCCACCAAAACTTAATCACTTCACCCTTCATTCCAAACAGATGTTTGTGTTAAGTTTGAAGATATTCCCTTGAGCTGTTCTTGAGACATTGTGTTCACAAGGATTGAACGGACAGACGTGTATGGACATTTTGGGAAAACACGAAAACATAACCTTTGACCTTTTGGATGTTAAATGACATAACTTCATCATGTTATGGCCAAAAACATGTTTTGTGATGTCACAGTGACCTTCACCTTTGACCACCAAATTCTAATCAGTTCATTCCTAACTCTATGTGGATGTTTGTGCCAAAGAAAAAATCCCTCGAAGTGTTCTTGAGATATTGCATTCATGAGGATGAGACATACAAGGTCACAGTGGCCTTGACCTTTGACCACCAACTACAAATCAGTTCATTCCTGAATCTAAGTGGACGTTTGTGCCAAATTAAAAAAAAACAAAAAAAAACTCAAGGCATCCTCGAGATATCGCATTCACAAGAATGAGACAAACACCTTTGACAATCAGTTCACTCCTAAGTCTAAGTGGACATTTGTGACAAATTTGGAAAAACAAAATCTGTCAAGGTGTTTTTGCGATATCACATTCACGAGAGTAAGACAAGTGAGGTCACAGTGACCTTGACCTTTGACTTATGACAACTTAAAAGTGGTCAGTTCATTGTTGCATCCAAATGACTTATTGTCTGGACTTACGGACACACAACACGAACACATAATGCCTCTGGCCACAGCTATCGTTGGTACAGAGGAATAAAAACAGCTTAATCACAGTATACAGTATGCAGTATAATGTTGCCAAAATACCAATTTAGTGATATTTATTGATTCTAAAATTTGAAACGGCTTTCAATTAATTTTCCGCACTATTGATAAACCAGCACCAGCTCTGCTCTTTTGCTTTCTTACAGACAGTTTCCTGCTACTAATCAAGAAAAGTAAAGTCATCATTGTCATGTTAGAGCCTTGTTATATTTACCTATCAATAAAAATTTTAAATTGTGGCCCTCGATGTCAGTTTTTTTCTGTGGTGTTGAAAATGCTGTCAAACATTGATAACTTTCATGGTATTACACTGAAGTTGGGAATTCCAGTATCATGAAAACACTTCTGCAAAGGTCTAGTAGAACATTTTGCCACCGTGACCTTTGAAACTGCTGCCGCCACCCGTCCTGTAGCTTTAATATGAAGCTGTGTCCCATGATGCTTTGCAAGCTGCTAAGCTGTGGAATATTGATGTCAGATTGATGACCCCAAAAGGGACATGAAGCAGGCTGGACACACAGAAATCTCCATGGAAACTGTCAGCACAAGAACGAACAAGGACCGATATTGATGCAGGCCTAGTTAATCATGAGTTTATTAATCAGCACTTGGCTTTATTAATTCATCATCTGTGATTTCTGCTTTCTGGCTCGCTTGTTGATCAGCTGCCTCTGTGTAGAATATAGTGTGAGATATGTCGTGTCATATAAAATATCATTAGAGCCTGACAGACCGGGCTGAATGCAGCTGGTGACAGAGGTGCTGCTCCACTGAAAGGCCATGGATGAAATGTCGTTTCATGTCTTCCATCAGTTCATATGTGGGATGTAAAGCAAGACTGAAGACACCCATCACTGCAGGCCAGCAAGCTAAATGTTGGTCCATCAGCTGCAAAGGTCGCAGTCACTGTCACCTGGAGGAAGTTTGATAATGTTTGTGTTGGTTTGTGAACGGTTTGCTACAAAGTCAGCGATGCTTCCAGTCCTCCATCTGTCTCCCTAAAATAAAGAAATATAACTGTAGCACTATGTGACTATTTGTACAGCAGGGCTGTGTTTTCTGAGCTCAGGACTGTCAGTATTTCTCATTCTGATGGAAAATTGTGTTTTCAAGGGAGACAAGGTCATGGCCGCCGCAATAAAACAGAAAGTTAGGGACATGGCAGCAAATATAAAACAGTCAAATCTATGACACACAGAATTTATTCAAGAAGGTCAATAAAATGCAGTATTTCTAAAGAACAGAACAATGTTACTGTGCTATCAACTTACACTGTCGCACCACTTTAGAAATAGAGTTTTAAATTCATATACAAATGTATTTTAGCATACAAAATGAGGTATAGGACATTTTTTAAATTGCCCAGGTAGTGTCAAACAAATGGAGCCATTTACCTTCATCTCCAGATCTTTTACTGGGAAGCTTCATTGAACTAATCTAATTGAATTAAACTGAACCAGCTGAAACTGAACAAATTAAGCTGTCAAACTTAACTGTTAGCTAACATGATATTAATGGTTTAAACTTTTACACCAATTGTTAAGCTAACACAAACCAAACTGTTTTAGCTGTTCAACTGAATTGTGACCTAACATGAAATAAACGATTGAAACTGTTACACCAAACTGTTAGCTAATAGCCTACATCTGCTAAACTAGCAGATGTATTAGCTAGCTTGAAATAAATGGTTTAAACTTTTACACCAAACTATAACACAAGTATCCTGAGAGGCTGGGCGACGAGGTGTATTTTTTACACTTTAAACCACATCTCAAGCGAGAAAAGTGTCTCCTTTGGATAAAGTTGTGTGGTAACGTTAGACCACAACATCAACTCAACGTGAATAAGATTAACAATGATGTCTACATCTGTTCTAAGGTAAGTCAACATTGTGTTTGAGGCAACATATTGTCACCTTGCTGGAAAGAAATATAAAGTTATCTTTAACATCTCTAGCTAACGTTAGCTAAAGTTAGCCTAACGTTAGCTCTTAGCTGCGTTGTTCATCATGTCACCTTGTTTGCTGGGAGTTCATTAGCCTATTTTGTTCTAGTTTTGTACTTTGGTGATCGTACATCATTGTTAGCTGTTGTCCAAAGGGCTCTAGTTAAGCTAACGTTAACTTCTGGAGCTTAGCTTCATTAACTTATCTGTAATGGCAGAGATAACAAAGGTTGGCAAACGTTATGCTGAATGATTCAGTGTAAATACTGTAGCACCAAACTAACGCAGAGACACTCTTGGTAAAGATGGTAAAAAGGCCGTTATCCTTTTCTCATATTCTGAGCCAAAAACCTTAACTTCAGTGGCACTTTAACTTGTTGTCTTTGATGGTGACGGCAACCAGATGCGGTTCACAAGCGTACACTGTGACCTGTAAATTTTGGCTTGTAATTTAAGCTTTTCATCGACCTTCTCAACAATAAAATGATGAATATATCCCTCCAATGCGTAGTTTAGGCCCTTTTGGTTACTTCTCAATGACATCTGATCGTTATGTCTCCAAAAATCATCAGTTGCCTCCTGTGAAATGCCGTGTACTGTGACACCTGCCATAGCGCCGCTCACTGAATGTTGACATTTTGTCTGAGTGGGTGGAGGCGGGTGTGGCTTAGCCATAGGTCAATTGTTACCATACATGCAATAAATGACTAAAACGGCTACACCAAACCGCTAACTAACACAACTGCTAAACTTTTAGCTAACACAAACCAAACTGTTATAGTTGTTCAAAGTTGTTCAACTGAATTCTTACTTGACATAAAATAAACAATTAAAACTGTTACACCAAACCGTTAGCTAGTTTAGCAGTTGTGTCAGCTAACTTGACATACATGGCTTAAACGTTTACACCAAACATTTGGCTAACACAAATCAAACTGTTTTAGCTGTTAAAGTCAGGGTAAAGCAAACATAAGTATATGAGATGAGTTAATCACACCACAGAAAAAATTTATCATGAACCACTCGGCCACATTTGACGATTAGAAAAATCACCACCTATATAATATGAGGTTTTGAAATCGTGAAAAAATTGGTGATATTCTTTGCTCAAGCGGCGCGGGTGACACTTGAAACGCAATACATCGCTCACGCAGTAGGGGGTAGCAGAGTCACTGGTACATTCTAGCTAGCTAGTACTGCTATTTTATTAGAGTGCAGGGCACAAGAACTGT